TTAACAATGTCTATATTATATCAGTTTGAATTAAAATCTTGAAGTGTCACGATATGCAAAATCCACCGATATTACATTTTTCTGCATTTCCATATTTTAATAAATTATTGATGCATAGATATTGACAATTTAATTATGTTTTAAATTTGAAGAAAGAAATGGTCGACATGACTGTGCTCATATACGATTTACGGCTGAGGATGCGAATAATACTCACGAGTATTTTTTGCAAGGCATTGACAGATTGATTGGCCACCGGAATCCCATTAATTTCTCTGATCTCGTCACCCACGTGAAGGGTCGCTTGTCTGTGTATCATGCCGCCGTGCATAATTCGTGCCACCACGCATTTCCCATCCTCGTTCATTTTTAAAGTGATTCCCTGCGGACAGACAAGTTTACCTACTCACCGCATTTCTCTTGATATTTACTCTGTGTATTTTTCAAATCTACAATGTCCGCATTAATTAGAAGTGAAAATTGAAACGACTATAATAAAAATTGACCCTAATTAAACGTGTACTTAATTACTCAGAATTAGTGTCCGTGAATGCGTCTTGAATTAAATTGCAACACAAAGAGTGAATGTGATTCAACTTGTAATCCTGACATTAAAAGGGAGGCAACTTTTAATAGAAGCAGTGTAAAAGTTTCGAATTCTCATTTATTGAACGGTCGTAGAGTTTAATTGAGGAATCTGGTCCAATGCCTTACCATCGGCTCGTCGGTGTTCTTTTGGAACTGGACCAGCCTGACGCGCGTTACGTTTTCGAGGTCCAGGTCACCATTTTGGCCCTCGAGATCGTCGCCCCCGTTCAGATAAGGGAGGAGCGGCGGCGGCGTTACTCTGGTGGCTTCCTCGCCGTAGACCTCGTGTCCCGCTACGTCGTGAGCTTGCAAAAGCGCCTGGAACAGGAAAATCGGGCGCACGGAGAATTAAACACCGAACGGTACACACAGGTAGAGTACGTGTAATCAAAACAAACGAAATGAAATAGCGGATAGGCGCGGTACTATTTCGGGTATCATGGACGCAATATCGTCCACACCGTTTGAACACCCGACTGTACGTAAACATCGGGAACGCTTCTGTTTTTCGTTCCACGGAATTTCCGGATATTGCGATCATTTTTTTTCTACTCTCGCCACTCTTTTTTGCCACTCTGTTTGAGGCAGTGAACGCGTTCCGCTGGACGTGAATCGGAGGGAATATTTTTAGAAACAAAACATCAAATCGTTTAATACGCATATAATTCTTCTCAGACTTTTGATTAATCAACAATTTTCTAAATCGAATTCGTAACAACGGTGTTACTGTTAAAATTTAATCATCAGTTGCCTTCGCGTATGTGAAAAATCGAATAGTGTCATGTTGGAAATAACGAGCGACTGTTCGGGAAAAAATTTGCAACATGAAAACAATTTTGCCACGAAATACTAAAACACTGTGGGACAATCATTTTCGAGTATGAAACTTCGCGAATAGCCTGGAAATAGCACCGTTTTTTACAGCGAGTGAAACGTTTGCAAAAACTGGACGAAACCGTGCGAATCACGTTTACACGTCATGAAGTACGTATCGATTTAGAAAAAGTTTCGTTGACAGGCAATTTTGTTTTTATATTAGAAAAAAGACGTTTTACCAAATTAATTAAATCGCCATAATTACTCTTTCTAATTAAGAGTTAATGTGTCACTATTAGAAGTATTTACTGCCATGAAACGTCTCGTTGGACCGTAACTGTGCGTTCGTGACTCCGATATAATGGGTAGTTGCTCTATTACTTGAAACAAGCTATTCACCTTAGGATGCTCGAACTAGCAGTTCTCAATCACGATTTCCTCTGTCCCCAAGTTTCACCCATCGCTCGAACACGTTTCAAATCAAGGAGTTCCATAAGCTGTTCCCAATCCAATAAAGTAATTTAACTTGCATTTTGTCTGCGTTTATCGTTCTCATTGCACTAACCAATAAATTATTATATTTACAACGTCTCAACGAGTATAATAAAGCATTTACTCTATATTTACGTAATACGTTTTCTTACTTTTTTTTTTTAATATACTTCATTTCCATTTACAATAACTCATTGCAAATAGAAAGAATTGAATTAAAAGAGAGCATCAATTTGCGAAAATTGTTTCAGTTGATCAACCAATAACTGAATTTTTGTATATTCATAAAACCATTCCACTCATCACGTTTCTTTAATTTATTGCTAATGAAATTCGATGAACATTTTTCGCCTGTACACACGTCATATTTCACCGTCCATAATACAACGTTTTATTTACCAATGACATTTATTTAAATATTAAATCATGCAAATACGAAGCATTCACGTTTCATCTGACATACAGTCGAATCGCATTTATTTTAATGCTACGTTGAGCTTCAGCTTGTTGGGAGAAATTAATGTTGAAACGATCTGGATTTAGTTCAAGGTTCATTATACGTAAAATTGTTATAGACTATGTACAGTTAAGCTAGATTAGATGCTTCACCTACACCTCATATATAATAACCGATGCTTGTTACGAAGGTATTTAGCAACCATAGGTTTGCCAACTAAACGAGACTGCCTTAGAAAACAATTCGTGATTAATTAGAAAATTTTAATTCAGTACACCTTGCCTGAACGTTGTCAAACCTTATTTGAAGTAATTCAATTATAGCAAAAGATTCAAGTCATTTAATTGTTGAATGCACAATTCAATTGTACCATGTATTTAATATATTATAGTTCCAACAGATATAATTATAGAAACTTTTGACTGGTTTCAAGCGAGACTTGAGTAGTTACACTGATTATAAAAAATTTTTCAATTATGATTTTCCCAAGAGCAATTCATTAAACATAAGCCCAGTGAAGTAACACGTTGTACGTGACGACGACCGCGAGGGGTTAACAGTCTCGTTGAGGGACTCTCGAAAAGTAGCCGGACGAGCGGAGGAGAGTCCGGCGGAGGTTCCCCATCATCGATTTCCAACACCGCAGCATCGACACGTTCAACGAGCCTCCGAGCCCTTTTCAAGCCGCGTAATGAGAGGAGAGTCACGTCAGTCGGTTTCAAAAGCGGAAGAAGATGAAGAGAAAAAGAAAAACGGGCCAGAAGTGGAGAGACAGCTTGTCCTCTTACACGAGTCAGCGGTACGCGACGCACGATACGGCATGTCGCGTTGTGCGAAATGCTCTACGCTTCCAGACTATCGGAATAATTCGCTGGAAGTATGCCAGTACGTCTGAAGAGGTGACGCAGAAAATGCAACGCCCGGTGTGGAAAATCTTGTTAAACCGTGTTACGTAGCATGTCAAGCATCTACTCACGCGCTTTCCTAACTTCATTACATTCAAGTTTGTAATATATGTAATTCAAGATAAATGGCTAATTGAGTTAAAAATAAAGTAAATCGTCCAGCGTGGAGATAAGAAAAATCTTCTGCGCTCGAAATGAAGAAGAAAACTCCATTAAACAATTTTGAAATGGAGAAAGCTTCAGACCTCTATGGAATTTCAATTCGAATCCTGATGGAATTTTAATTCGAATCCTGAACATCAAATATTTATGTAAGAATGATTCATGAAATGATTGAAACAAAAAAATTAGATGAAGAAACATAAGGAAACACAAGTTACGCTCGAAATCGAACTAAAATCGCCACATGACTCGCATTGATAGCTATACGCCCCACGTTTCTATTTCCCGTGGGTCGTGCGTATCCGTCTAATCTATATGTAAATCCTGTTTGCCGGCTAGCAGGCGCGAACTGTTAGCGTTAGCGCAAAACTACGTGGATATCACAGCGATTTTAACTATAATTTTCAGATGCCACACTTCCAACTGTGAATTGCAGAAAATGTGCTTGAATGGAAGTTTAATGTTTATTAAAATATTCACAGTTACCATGAATGACTGAGTTTACGTTTTGAGCATGACATAATATAGTCTAAAAGAACGTTTTGAAAGAATTCTTTATACCCCATGAATGCATATTTCATTCTAGTTTCATTTGAAAATCATGATTACGTTCATTCATCGTTGAAATTAAAAACGATTATGATATTAAACGTTTCTTTATTAATAGACCAATCAGCCTACAGAAAAATATCATCGATATCATGCGCTGGGAAATCCGCGTAATCCTGCATGTATATCACACATTTGTCCCTTAGAAAAAGCAATCCGTGTTTTCAATGATTGTAATCAGAAACTGCATTCAATGGTTGTCAGTTTCAATAATGATTCAGGATTGATATTAACCGCGTTAATTGCGACGATCCCGACGGGTTATTCATTAATTAGCGCCCGTTCACCCGACGAGGGACATGACGTCTATTATATTTTTCTACCTTGAAAGCCGATTGCCAAATGGAGAGACAATGAACATCAGGTCCTATTCGAAAATGTTGAAAATAGCTGTTGGAAATTGAAACCCCTTGACGTAAATCCTGACGATCGAACATTGTCCGTTTCAAAAATGAATTTCGCTCGGTACGAGATGAAGATTAGAAATATGAAATAATAAAAGAATAAAACGATTATTAAAATGCATAAGTGCAGTGAGAGATGCTAATGTTAATTTCATAATTTAAGTAGATTCGTTTTGAAAATTCTAAGGAGACACGATATGTAATCCTTTCAATTATATCTGTGTAAACAAGGAATCAATAAGCTTTGTTGTGGTTTTCCAAGTGAACGTGAAATTTAAGTAGCATTAAAGCTATAAATTATCTTAATTCCGGTGAGCGTTAAAAGGTATTACGGCCGGCTGAACTGCAACCGTTTGTGGTCGCGTTTGCACGTCAATGAGCCAATTAGCGGCTTCGAGGGTAAAATAATATTGCTCCATGCAAATTTCGGCACGGATATGTATACGTACGCGCGGGCACACAGGCGCTACTGTGTTACGACGTTGTAACCAATAGCCGATACATCCTATCACCCGATCTGGTCAGCTAGCTCCTTGGATTAGTTTGTTTCTCTTCCCTATTATAATTCAAGCATAGTTGGTTAAAACATTTAACTAACTTGAACAACTGACCACTATGTATATAAAATCTAAGTACATATTTTCTGAAACATAACTTCCACTTGCATTTAACAGATATTAAAAAAAATTGTAATTTCCTGACAATTTATAATTCATTATTTACAATAAACGATTAATCAATGTTACGTGCAGTGTGTCTGAAAATTGAGTTAATATAATAACAGCCATTATAATTTTTATAATAAGTTATGCATTGAAATTGATATTGAATTGGACTTTTTTTAATATCGATTTAATAATTGATAAAAAGTATCATTATTTTATAATACACAATTCATAAGATTAATATTGACGTGACTACAAAAGAGTAGGGAATAAATTAAAACACAGGAAGAACAATTGGGAGAGCCTGTGAGATATTTAAATGATTCGGAAACTCGATAGGAGGTGGATGTAAAGCTTGGCTGAGTAATAAATATGCGAAAACGGGCAAAAAGCAGCAAGTTTCGTTCAAAGGAGCCAGACTGAATTGTGGAAAAGGAACGGGGTCTTTGTATGCCGGAAAAACCAATGTATGTACGTATATATATAAATGTACATACATACGTATAGAATAGCCGTCGAACATCTGGATCTGACATATATCTATACACCAGTGAAGTAGGATAATAAATTCCAGGTAGAAATAGTAACGGTCCTATAGAATGGCCAAAATTTTTCAATCCCACCGCAAGCTCTAAGTGAAAATCGATAAACCTGTTTCACAGTCTTAACGTTTTTCCGTCGAAAGAAAGATCTGATACAATTAACAAGTCCGTTCGCAATTAAATCGTTAAGTGTTTCTCAAGGAGATTTCCTTCTAACATTAAATCTGAGACTCCAAACCAACTCAACAGATCGTTCAATAATTCAT